CATACACTACAGTAAAAAAGTATTTCCTTTTGTCTGTCTATTCATTAGGCACCCCCTGAGCTTTCTAGTATTACGGGAGAGGGAAAAAGTTCTCTTAATCCACTTTCTCCACCCAATGGATAATTTTATAAACCTCTACCATGTGCCCCTTTGGCCATCTTTTTATGGAATGAAGAGTGACAAGACCCAGACTCTTCAGCCCTTCCTCATAGGAAAAGTGTTCCAGCAACACTTTAATCATATTTTGTTGTGATGTCTCCTCACATTCTGAACCAAAGTAACTTTATAATTTATATGGCCCGGCCTTTAGAAAGGCAACCTAGAATCTCGATGCCTCATTCATGGATCTCTCTTGGGGGATTTCCTATAGAAAGCATCGAAAAGAAGATGTGCATCAGGAAAGACTGCTTTAAACTGCAAAAAGTGACCAGGATCTAAAACAGTACATGTACCAGAAATTGTGCATAGCTGAAGCATTACTTTCTCTTTTCTCTATATTTGTTCTCATGGTTGAGCATACAAGCTCTTTTCTGCAGTTATGATATTAACTTACTCATTCATCAGTAGGCATAAGTACCTGCGAATCTTCAGCAACACATGAAGTTCATTCTCACGCACTTAACTGGAAGGCCCTAAACGGACCTCTTTCTGCCTCTTATGCTTTGGAACAATGAAGACGCCTCGCGCACTCTACAATCAGATGCGCGAGCGACCCCTGCAGGTATCTAATTGGCTAATTTCGAAAGAGCCGTACACTTAATCCCACATCTTTTCCTCGTTAGCGGCTCCTTTTCATCCGGGATATTAGCAGTGAGGGCTGAAACGCGTTCCGGGAGGGCTCGCTGATTGGCCGATTTTCCAAAGGGCGGACCGCTCAACTCTCTTTGCAGCCAGTTTAATTTTAAGCCGTTTAAGCAGCACCTCGTGATACTCTGATTGGTTCAGTGTACCAGTGTAGGCGTGCCTATTCGTCGTTACCTCGAAGGCCCTGCGCGGGGGGAATGTTCTGCGCATGAGTTCTGTAGATCGAGGTCGGTTGATGGAACGTTAGCGACTGTTGGTAGGACGCAGAGAAGTAGGGGGCGGTGCGCTTTGTACTCCTAATGGCTTGCTCGAGTTCCCCGCGGCTGCAGGAACCTCGAGCAAGCCGGCTCCTGGAGGGGAGGGGGGAGGGGGGGTGCTCATGGCACGTTAGGCGCCAGCTCCTTCCTCCTCCTGGGCATCCGGTTTCCCAGGAGCCACAGTTCCTTTCCTCTCAGCCAGACCCTCCCTGCTGCTGCTAAAGTCCTGCAGGAGGTCCAAGTCATGGCAATCTGGCTGGAGAGGAAACACACAGCTTGTAGCACCCTGGGGGATTGCCTTGGT